ATTATTTCAATGTGTAGTGTTCGCGTAAATATAAGAAATCATTATTATTTATATATTTATGTGTCAGATGAACCTAAATAATGTTCCTTTACCTTTGTTTTAAAAATCCACTTGTTGGGAGATTTTCTTATTGCTATGGGAAGCGCATTCCAGAGACTTACAGCTGTAACAACGAAAGAGTTTGAGAGGAAACCAGTACGGTGAGAGGGAGTATAGAGCACGAGATTGTTACAAGAGCGAAGATTGCAAATTCAAATCTTTGTGATTTGTAGTCATTTCCTGCACGAATACACAAATAGTTGTATCACGGGTTTGAATGTGATTATCTCAGTGTCTCTGTAACAGTATGTATGCTCATCTTTAATATAATTGCAAAATGCTAAAATGTTGTGTACCTATACCATTCGCAGTAAAAATTTCCATAGCATAGCATAGCATAAGCATAAACACTCACGCCTGTCACCCAGACAGGTAGGCTGAGACCACGGACTACCATTTAACACGATCCTGACATACCTCTTTCGCCTCCTTTACATCCATATATCTACGCATACATGCTCGTCGGTTAAGGGTACTTTTAACGTGGCCCATTTTCAAAATATCGCCAATTTGGTCAATAAACTTTTTTCTAGGGCGTCCCTTCCCGACTCTGCCGTTCACATCTGCCATATAAATTTGTTTTGTCACTCTTTCCTCATTCATTCTTTCTACATGACCAAACCACCGAAGCATTCCTTTCTTAATCCTGGTCACAAAATCATCTTGCATACCACATTTATCTCTTATCATGCAATTTCTCATCCTGTCATTCAGATTCAACCCTAGCATACTCCTTAAAGACCGCAATTCTACAGCATTTATTCTACTTTCGTGCTTCTTCTGCCACACCCAGCTTTCACTACCATACATTAAAGTAGGGACTAACACAGCATTATGAATTACCATACGTGCCTTTTAAAAAATAAAAAATTCCTTAAATTCCTTAAAAAAATCCATAATAATTTAATATTCTATCGTATGCTAGTGGCGTAATTGAATATATCACTATATTTTGTCGTGTGGATATTTTAATAAGTGATTAAGGAACACACCAGAAAAAGCGCACGTTCTAAATTAGATGGAGGCATGGCATCCACCTGCACACCATCTTGCATATCATCATTATCGTTACAGTCAAAAGTCCACCACTGTTTCAGTTTCCCTTTGTTCGTCTATCTGTATTTCCAGTAAAAGGGTTTCTGGTTCTCTACACTTATTCATTATTCCAAACACAGCAGCATAGGCTGCTATTTTACGCTGGTATTCGGTGAGAGCGTGGGCCTTTCCCAGTCCGAGCCGACACAGTCATGCTACAAGAAAAATATAGTTGCTGGTCTTTCCTGCGATGTGAGTAGTTCATGTACAGTTGTGAACTGTTCATGTACACTTGTGTATTTCGGGCTGATTAAGAAGGAGAATATTTAAGTATCATTTTCTGAACATGATGTTGTTTTTTCTCATATAACACACTAAAAATATAATAATCAATTAAAATATATTGTTAATAATCTTAAACCTATAAATAAAACAATTTAAAACTAACGAAACTATAACTATTAAAAAAAATGAAGAGCTTTACATTTAATTTGGTGATTAATATCACAGTTTAAGTCCAAGCAATATTTCTACTTGTACAGTAATTGTGTAACAGTTGGTAATTGAATAAAAGGTGGCTCCTGAAGGATAAGCTGCTCTTAAGCCAGTCTTCACGTTGATTCATAATTTAAATCTGGTGCTTAGACTAGTTTCTTGATAACTTCTTTTCTATATAATTTATTCTTTTTTTAAATCTACACATAATTGCTGCTGACCTTTTATTTTTTTCTTCGGACTTCTATTTTTATTTGCAAGTTATTTTTATCATGTCCTTTATTTTGGAAACAAGGTAAACTGGATGTTTACTGTGATGTTTGTATTAGGTTTTTGTTACGATAGTAGTTCGATGGTGGATGCAAATTTAAAGAATTCAGTTTTACAGTACGTAGGCTTAACCATAAGCTTTTTCTGGACTAGCGGTTTTTAAACTTGTTTGATGACGATACCTTTTTAGAACACTAAGTATCTTGTGGAGTTTTCTAATATTCTGACGAAGAGATGATAATACCTACTAGTACAAGTTATATTCTTATGTTTGTAGTATTTCATCCTATTACGGTTACTTTTTTAGAATTATCATGCTGCGTGTCACCTCATTATGTAATAAGATTCGATGTGTTTTGGTTTATATTATTTCGGTGGAACCCTCGCAAAGATATTACAGAACCCTAGGGCTCCGAGAAGCATAGTTTGTGAACTAGATATTTACAGACTCAAAAAAATACTTTGAAGCTTTTTGACTGTGTGCGTCTTAATTTGTAAAGATGTTTCAGTAGCCTTTAACATTTTGGATAGGCTTAAAAACCTTAACCAAGGGCAATGGAAAATAAGCTGATGAGATTACAATCCTACTCATGCGTCAGTAACAGAAAACAAGACAGCTAAAATTGGAGCGACAGTAGACTAATGGCAGGGCGCGGACCACGAACTCAAAAAGATCGTGGGTTCGAATCCACCATTCGACTACTGGCGTGAACCACTCGTAACACAAGCAATTTAAGCTTACCAGTGGTTAAGGGGAATATTGTTAATGTTTATAACATTGCTAATATTCTTTAAAAAAATGAAATTTAAAATTAAAGTAAAACTATAGCCTGTATACGTAATGCTGCTGGGCTCAGGTCCGCCGCGCTGTTCGGATTTGTGGTTGGAGACTCCAAATGTCTTTGAAATATTTTATTTCTACGATGGGGCTGATTAAAATGGTTTTAACGTAAATGAAACACTACTGACAAATTAAAAATTAATTTATTAAAATAGAGAAACCGCATCTCGTCCTGGCAGAATATATATTCCTTGTTTAATGTGTATCTATGTTTTTTTAATTTCGTAAATATAATAATTAATTTTTTATGTTTTTATTTAGATTTTAGATTTAGATACTAGACGTTAATTTAGTTTAAAATTATTTAGTGGGTTACTATAGGAGTGGCATGGTCTAAAAACTAAAACAATCCCTAAAAACAAACAGGAATTAAAATCAAAGTCAGTCAGACTAAATTTTCTTTTCAGCTTAGTCTTCTTCAAAGCTCTTAGCTAAACATACATTATACGTTCATAACATACATAAGCTATAAATTATACGTTCATAACTCAAAAAAATACTTTGATATTTAAATAATAATATACAATAATATATACGTATATCTAGAAGGAAATAACGAAAGCATATATTCTCCCCATTACTTATCTTATTTAACGTCATAAAACTTAGTATTTTTCACTTTTTCATACTTCTTCAGGAATTTAAGGATGGCTTGTATTTATTCAAAGGTTACCGAAAGGCTGCGCTAGCAATCATTTGCCATATTAACATAGGAGCATGACCACGTGCTCGGCGGTGAAGGAAAACATCCTGAGGAAACCTGTCTGTGTGAGAAATAAGAAAAAAAATACTTCGAAGACATGTGAAATTCATCAACACTACCCCAATGGTAGCGCAGCGGACACTTCCTTGCCCTAAAATCCTCTCAGAAATGAGAGGAGGTCTGTGCCCAGCAGTGGCACGTATATAGGCTGTAACTTTTATGAACTTGTCTCGTCTTTATCTAAGCTTGTACATAGACAGAAACATTCGTATTTTATCACTAATTTTAACACAAGTATGAATTTCAGAAGTACGAAAATTCCAAAGTATTCTACAAGCAATCATAGTTTATTTATATAAAAGTTCAAATAAGTTAATTTTGAAAGGATACAATAAACAGTTTCTCATCAAGCTAATCAGCTGAGTTGGATACATTTATTTATTTTAAATTAAAGCCATTAGGTTGTATGTTGCGTTCTAAAACACAATATAAACTTAAATAAGCTAATTTAAGATAACAATAGCATCTTTGATACAAAGTCGTTTAACATAAAGTATATGCGTTAACTCGTGTTCACTGACCTGAAATTGATTTTAAAACAATGTTAGTTAAGACGACATAGGAAATTAGCAGTTTTGTGAAATCAATTTGGTACATAGTCAATGTTATCATTTTGAAGCGTTACATTTAAATAAATATCCCCTATAAATAACAGCTATAAAACCTGATCAACTCGTGTCTCAGACCATCCCTGGGTCTTCCCGCTAATTTCAAATGCAAAGCGCTTTTTTTTTTTTTTACCGAATTTTACCAAGTTATGACGTTAAATATGAAATATCGGGGTAAATTAAAAAAAATCAATTTTTTCAAATTTTTTCGTTAACGATATCTCACGAACGAATAATCCGATTTTGACCGAACCGACGGCGATCAACGTGGTATTTCAGGATTAAAAAGCTGATAAGTTTTTGGAATATCGATCGGTAAATCCGTTTAAAAGTTATTCTAAAAAAACAGTTTTTAAAAAATTTTGTTTTGAGATTTCACAAAATATACCGGTCTGAATTAGATAAAATTCGTAGGAAATCTAAGTTTGATGAAACACTTTTGAAATCCGCGTTTATTAATCTCAAGTCGTTAAAGTTACACACAAAAAAAAAAAAAAAAAACACACACACACACACACACACTTACTGTGACCTGAAAACGGCAAAATTTGATGAAAACTCAATTTTCCAAAAACGGTGTAAAAACAAGAATTTCCCGATTTTTGAAAATTTTCAATTTTTTAGCGGGAAGTTAAAAATAGGTCCATAATCATCTACCGAATGAGAGGAGGCCTGTGCCCGGGAGCGGAACGTAGATGGACTGTAACTTCACCTTACATAGCTTTATGCTTCATACAGTTAAAAGTTTTTTAATTTCTCCTTAACACTACTCGGATATACATACTTATAATTTTTATTATTTATCTATATATGTGCATAAAATGAATTAGCTTTTCGGATTACTTATCAATAAAATAAGATTTATTTATATTTTCCTTTAGCAGGCACTATGCAACCGACAGCGAGAATCGCCCTGTCAATGTGCGTACTTATTTCCGCAATAGAAATCGCAACATGTAAGTATGACAATTACTTTTTTTTATCATTATAATTCACTGTAATAGTTACATCAATTAATGGCCAGGATAACTGATTTCACCGTTTTGTACCCCATGTTAGAGTCCCAGTTGGAATCAATTTAAAAAAAAATCAACAACAATAATATTATTATATTTGTTGGCTGTTTTTTCAACAACAACAAAACAACAAATAATAAACCTGTTAATCACTCCAAGTTAGCTGAAAATGCATCTGTTCATGACTGTAATAGAATTGCGGATTTAAACCCGCTACCATCTGAGCTTGCAGTACGCACACTTAACCATTAAAAATCAATATTTAAGATAGTAGCTTTGACATACTACATTATCGAATAAAAAAATAGTTTATAATTAGACAAATAGACAATTTCCCTGAGCGGTTCTCATCGCCCAGAACATTGAACGAAACGTGTTAGCCGTCAGACCCGGGGCTTGCCAACCCCTGTTCGGAAGGCCATTAGATAACTCACCCACGTACACTGTACACTGTCATAGAAGTTATCATTACACAAGTAACGATGAAAAGTGCACATTTCCTGAACAAAACCCAAAGTCAAACAACACCTCAGAAACCGGGACAACAATCCCACACCCCCCACAAAAAAAACAAACACCACAACCCCCAGTTTATTAAAATTTCCTTTATCGCCTTTTACGATACCCACGGGATGATATCGGGTAGTGGAAATTCTTACACCGATACTACTCGATAGAACATCAATGAACATATGCAATATTTTTTATAGTGAATAGAAGCTACAAACGCATAGCATATATCATGAATAATAACTTAGGAATTTGTGCAGTGGTCGAAACTGAACTGTAATACCTATGTTATTTAGCTTTTTATACTTAACTTGCATTTAAGGTAGACACAAGTTGCGTATGAAAAATAAGAAGCGTAATTAAAGTGCGCAAATTATTGGAACTGTTTAAGTGTAAAAGATTACAGGCTTTGAGAATAACGAAATACGAATGTTTAATAATATGAAAGATTAAGGTCATAGCTTATTCAAGTTGTATAGCAACAAAAGATTTGAAAAGCTCTTTATGCTACCTTTTATAAAGGGTCTATCACCCACAAAACATCAAAGGCTTTGTATCTAGAAATCAAAGTAAGTAAAGTACCAATAACACTAAAAATGTTATTTCTTTTTGTTAAAAAACATTTGGCTTAAACAATGTAATTAATAGTTGTCATTGCTATTTTTACTAATTACAGTAATATGACGAAAATAAACCTTTCATTATGGCAAAAATTTAAAAAGCCACCCAAAAACGGAATTAAGGAAGTGACACAACATTACTATTTAAAAATGTATTTATTGCTTTTCGAAGTATTCTCCGCGAAATGTGACACATTTTTCCAACGATGAAACCAATCATTGAAGCAACCATTCCATTCGGAAGTTGGGGTCTCCAAAATGGACGTTTTGTAGGCGTCCACATCTTCTACATGTGATGAAAATCTCTGTCCACGCAATTTATTCTTTATTTTAGGAAAAGTATAGAAATCATTAGGGCCTAGGTCAGGGCTGTACGGCGGATGGTCTAATAATTCTATGTTTTTTTGCTCTAAAAACTCTTTTGTTCTATGTGTAGTGTGAGAACTCGCATTGTCGTGATGGAGGATGATGCGGCGGTTGCAGTTTTCTTTACGGAGTTCAGAAACAACCTGTGGCAAACAAATGCTAGCATACCATTCTGAATTAACCGTTCTTTGTCCCTCAAGAGGAATAGTCGTAACATGGCCGGTTTTGGAGACAAACGTGGCCACCATTTTTTTTTCAACACTCCGTGAACAATTTTTGTTGGCTTTAACTCATTTTCGAACACCCAAACTCGTGACTGGTTTTTTGTTTCGGGTTCGTACGAGTATATCCAGGATTCGTCACCTGATACGATGTTGTATACAGCATTTGAGGATCCTGCGTGGAATCTTTCGAGAGTTCTGACGCATCAAGTAACGCGAGCCGCTTTTTGCTCTTCACAGAGCGGGTGCGGTATCCATCGGGAAAACAACTTTTTTACAGCTAATTGTTCATGCAAGATTATTTGTCTTTGACTCATACCAATGTCTAAAGTAGCCTGAATTCCGCGGTATGTCACATGTCGATATTCCTCAATCAGCTTACGCACAGCATCAACGTTTTCTTGGGTGACTGCAGTTTTTGGACGACCTTGACGGGGATCATCACTCTTACACGTTGAAATTCAGCAAACCAGCGATAAATTGTGGTTTTGGATGGGGCTTCACCACCAAATGCAGAAATCATCCGGTCAACACACTGTTTTTGTGTTAAACCACTTCGAAAGTCGTAATAAATCATCGCTCTTGAATTTTCTCGAGTCAATTCCATTTTCTCAACGACTAAACAAGTTTGACAAAACCTTGTGACAAGACCGAGAATCTTTTTTTAAATAAATAAATGGTATTCGATTTTTAAAACCAAGGAGTTTTCAATTAAAAAGATTTTAATATGACACGAACAGTGGAAATATTCCATTCCCGATATTTTTAGTGCAGCCTAGTATGCTGGAATGTGATAATGAAAGTCAAATTACAGAAAATGAAGATTTGAAAAAAAAAGCAAAACTGATGTATTGTACGTCAAATATTCGTAGCAATTACGTAGCACCATCGTAGCGGAGTCGTAGAGATATTGAAAATGCGTATAGAAGAAATGTGCATGAAGTTGAAAATTCGTTTTTTGATATTCAGCCATTGTCCATTGTATTGTATGATTTTTATAGAACTAGCATGGTGGCGATCACCTCATTCCCAGGGGTTATTTTCTTTTATGTATTCATTTATATTATAATAACCCTATTCGTACAATATTTCTTTAATAAAACATTAAAACTTGTTTAATAACAAATTTTATAAATTTTCTAGGATTTTGTTGTAAAATATACATTGCCCCATAAATGAATTACTTATTTTTAACGGTAACGGTATAGTGAAGTTCCAATATCAAAACAAAAAGAGTAAACAGATTTATAAACTCCAAGCTGTATTTAAATATATTCTATTGTGTTAATGCCTGATTGATACGAATGGCTAGGATTATCTTGGTTTATAGTCAAACGAATTTCTCGCGTCATTTGTCGTACAGTTTGTGGGATTTGCTACAACCTATCGGCGTTTACAAATATATGTGTGTATTCTATGTGTAATAAATTGAAAAAAAAATACATTTTTGCTAAAGAATTGTTAATTCAGATATTTGTGTTATTTTAGGCGACTTAAAGAAAAGAGGAGTTTCTCGATTCGAGTGCATGTTTATTGTATGTATGGTACGCCATATCTTTGTCGACTTTGATGAGCTTTTTTTTAAATACTAGCTAGTCGCCTACTAGCTACGCGCCGGACGTTGCTACCACAGAAGAAATAATTGTAGGAATATCGTTTCAAAATGTTAATTAGTTATATTGCTTAATTAGGAATGATAATACCTACATTTAACATAATTTGAATGCTGTATGACTTTCAAATAAATTCGTCGGTACGATATGCACGCCAGCTACTGTAAATAAATTGTACTCAGCATATAACATTTGCATAAATGCAAGCAATAAGTTTATTAAGTTTTAGTGTAATTTGATGTACGGTATGGCAGTGCATAAAATCATCATCATCATTACAGCCCTTCACAAGTCCACTGCTGAACATAGGCCTCCCCCAAGTAATGCCACAAAGCACGGTCCTGAGCCACCTGCATCCATCGACTTCCTGCATGTCTCACCAGGTCGTCACTCCATCTAGTGGGGGGTCGCCCTACACTACGCCTACCGGTACGAGGCTGCCACTCGAGAACCTTTCTTCCCCATCGGTTATCGGTTCTTCGAGCTATATGGCCGGCCCATTGCCACTTCAGCTTACTAATCCGTTGGGCTATGTCGGTCACTCTGGTTTCACTGCGGATATCCTCATTTCTGAGTCTATCACGCAGTGGAACTCCGAGCATAGCCCTCTCCATAGCTCGCTGAGCGACCTTGAGCGTCCTCATACGGCCAGCGGTGAAGGACCACGTCTCAGATCCGTAAGTCATCACTGGCAACACGCACTGGTTGTACACTTTAGTTTTCAGAGATTGAGGTATACCTGACGAGAAGATGTGTCGTAATTTCCCGAACGCTGCCCAGCCGAGTTGAATCCGTCGATTGACCTCTCGGTCGAAGTTGGACTTACCTAGTCGGACTATTTGTCCCAGGTAAACGTACTCGTCAACAACTTCGAGCATAGTGCTCCCAACAATTACCGGCATAGGTGTGACATGGACATTAAACATGATCTTTGTTTTGTCCATGTTCATCTTAAGACCTATCCGTTGGGAGACACCATTGAGGTCATTGAGCATAGTGCTAAGGTCCTCCAGCGATTCTGCCATAAGGGCTATATCGTCGGCAAATCGAAGGTGAGTGATGTACTCGCCATTGATGTTAATACCGTATCCTTTCCAGTCCAGTAGCTTGAAAACGTCTTCCAACGCAGCGGTGAAGAGTTTCGGGGATATAACATCACCCTGTCTTACACCTCTCTGCAGTTGGATAGGTTTCGTACTCTGGTTCTGTACTCGGATAGCCATCGTAGGCTTACTGTACAAACACTTCAGCACTTCAATATACCGACAGTCAACTAGGCACCGCTGAAGAGACTGTAGCACCGCCCAAATTTCGACGGAATCAAAGGCTTTCTCATAGTCCACATACGCCAGGCAAAGTGGCAGATTGTACTCTTCGGACTTCTGTACAATTTGCCGAAGGGTATGTATGTGGTCTATGGTACTGAAGCCTTTTCGGAAACCGGCTTGTTCGGGAGGCTGGAAGTCGTCGAGTCTGCGTGCGAGACGATTCGTAATGACTCTCGAAAACAGCACGTAGACGCGGCTCAGAAGGGAAATCGGTCTGTAGTTCTTCAAGAGAGCGTTGTCACCTTTCTTAAAGAACAAGACCACCGCGCTTCTGCTCCACGCCTCCGGAGTAATGCCACCATGGAGGACGGAATTGAAGAGCTTCTGAAGGACTTCAAGTACCGGTGTTCCACCCGCTTTCAGAAGCTCCGCTGTAATTCCATCCTCGCCCGGGGCCTTGCCGTTTTTAAGGTGGTGGAGAGCCATTCTAATCTCGCTCAGACTGACGTCCGGGATATCATCGGAATAGTGTCGGATAAGACTTGCTCTTGGATCGTTACTCACACTTGCGTGTGGCTCCAACGATGATGTGTACAGCTGCCCATAGAACCTCTCAATCTCACTCAGAATCTCAGGTGTCCCGGAAACGATGTTGCCACACTCAGTCTTCAGCCTTGACAGTTGGCTCCTTCTGGCAGACAGATCTCTGGCAAAGACTTTGGAGCCCTGGTTCCGCTCGATCGCTTTATTAATACGAGCAGTATTAAAGTTGCGTAAGTCTCGCCGCATGCATTTGGAGATCTGTCTGTTCAGCTGCCTGTATGCTGTCAAATCTGTTGACGATTGCAGCCTCATCTCCCGTCTAACAGCCATGAGACTAAGAGTGTGATCGGAGAGTTTTTGTGTTCTTCTGCGGCGGGTCTTGCAGAACTTAGCTCCGACCGCATGGACAGTTTCCACGAGCTTGTCATTCATATCGTCCACTGCATTGCAATCCTCTAGGCACTGAAAGCGGTTTTGTAACTCGAGCTGAAAGGTTTCGGGATTCTGGATTAGAGCACGAGGGGGACGGAGCGTTGACTTCATTAGACGAGACCTCTCCAACTTAACGTTTAGGTTCAGTGTGCCTCTAACCATTCGGTGATCGCTGCCAGTTTTCACCCTTGCGATCACTGAGACATCACTGAACAGTTGGCGTCTGGTCGTCATAATGAAGTCAATCTCATTTTTTGTCGAACCGTCGGGGCTCGACCAGGTCCACTTCCTGTGGGGCCGCTTCTGGAAGAAAGAGTTCATCATAAAGAGTCCCTCTTTCTCCATAAAGTCGGCCAGCTGCTGGCCCCTTCGGTTCCGTTGCCCTACTCCAAATTTCCCCACCTTCAGCTCACCGCTTTCTCTTGTGCCCAGTTTTGCGTTGAAGTCTCCCATCAACACCGTGTAGTGGGTTTTGGAGGAATGCATGGCTCTGGAAATATCCTCATACATTTCCTCCACCTCCTCATCGGGATGTGCCGAGGTTGGTGCGTAAACCTGTATGACCTTCAGCGAATACCGTTTGGTGATTCTGAGTATCAGGTACGCGACCCTCGTCGACACACTCCCAATCTTTACAACGTTGTTGACGAGAGACTTGTGGACGATAAATCCGACACCTCCTTGGGACAGATGGTCGCCCTCCTGGTGGTAGAACAAGTTGCCGGACTCGAGGATTGCCGTATCCTCCCCCTCTCTTCGGACCTCGGATAATCCAATAATATGCCAGCGCAACTTGTCTACCTCTTCTTCCAGCTCCAGTATCTTCTCGTCAGTCCTCAGGGTGCGTGCGTTATATGTTGCCAGGTCGAGTCGTCGTAGGTGGCAACCGAACCTCCACCGGAGATTCTTAGCACCCCCTGCCCCGCCGTTACCATGGTCGCCACCGTATCCAGGAATAGCGGGGCCGCCGGAGACCGAGGGCCGTTTTTTTGCGTCATTATTCATGGGGGGATATTTGCCATAGTTGCCACGCTTGGCGAGCGGGTTGGCAACCGCAGTTTTTTATTATAACACAGTTGTTATCAGGAAGATGCTGCTGCCCATCTCCTGCCTGTCTCCCTCTGTCGCCTCTTACGACACCCACGGGAAGATATGGGGTAATGGATATTCTCAACCGCCACTACACGGCATAAAATACGAACAAATAAATATTCATTTTCTACAAAACCGGCACATCCTTGAGTTGCTTAGTGCCAAAATGGACATGTGCTAAAGAATACTAGGTAGGTACCAAGATATAATGTATGGAATAATTAAATCCCTGACTTCAGATTTCTTATGTTTACGCGAACACTACACATTTAAATAAAACTAGTTTTTTTTTTAGTTTTTGAAGTCGGCTTTTAAATTTTCAAAAGTTATTTTTATACCGACTTCAAAAAGGAGGAGGTATTCAATTCGACTGTATGTTTTTTTAAGTATGTTATATCATAACTTCTCTGGGTGAATCGATTTTGATGGTTCTTTTTTTATCTGATAGAACCGGGCTTCTCGTGTGGTTCCATATAAATTAATTTAATAATCTTAATGATTAAAACTAAAATAATCTTAATTTAATAACTAATAATCTCTAATAATCTTTAATAATGCGTAATTAAATGGCAATATATTTAAAATCAGAACGTTGATGATGTTCTGATTTTAATTATATTGAAGTCGGTTTACCACTTGTTCAACTTGATAATTTACGTAAAGTTCGGTAGTCTTAACTATATTTTAAGAAGGTTATAAAATAGATGTGTAGAATTATCAAATGATTGATTATAAATTAATAATGATGATTTTGTTTGCAGCCAGCAGCACGAAACTCCGTCGCGACGGTGTTTTGAACTTGTACCCATTCCCTAGGGTCGGCCGCGCGCACCACACTTGGCAGGTGCCACTCAATGACGAGTATTTTGGTATGTTCACATTGTCATCCTTGTAATTTAAGCTATTAGTAGGTGTAATAATAAATGCAGCATCCTTAACCCTATAGAGCACATACCACCACTATTCACGACGTTTTTCTTTATGGCTGTGCACGTAATAATTCAGCATAAATAAATTCTATGGAATCAAACTCGAGTTGCTCAAAGTGGCTTTACTTCTCTGTGGAATAGTTTACCACCGGCAATTTTTTCGGACCGATACGACCTGGGGACCTTCAAGAAAAGAGCTTACTCCTTTCTAAAGGGCCGGCAACGCACCTGCAATTCCCCATGGCCTGTTGCGGTTGATCATGGGCGGCGGTAGTCACTTAACATCAGGTGAGCCGCATGCTCGTTTGCCCCCTCTTCTATAAAAAAAAAACCTTTACCGTTACTGCCTACTGAAAGTCCACTGCTGGACATAGACCTCCAACATAGATTGCTTCATGGCAACAGCAGGTTTTTATCGAAATGGCTTTACTGGTTATTAATATAGCTAAGCCAAGAAACTTATGATTTTCTTCAAATAAACATAGATATAAACTTCAAATAAATGATTTTCCTTCTTACTCACCAGCCGCAGAATTCTACTGCTGCATATAGGCCTCCCCCATTGTAGGGAGGATTTCCCGTAATCGGTACACTTGCCGGATGGATTGGCAATTGCAGTAAGATACGTTTCGAACCTTTGACGCTGCTTTCAGTTCCCGGTCTGGGTATTTTACAAAACATATACATAACTCTCATGCCTGTTACCAACAAGGGTGGGTAGGCAGAGACCCATAAGATACGGCGTGCCACAGCTGTCTGTCGCCGGTCCTGTATGCGGCATACACCAACGACATCCTAACTAACTCTCATGCCTGTTACCAACTAGGGTGGGTAGGCAAAGACCCATAAGATGCGGCGTGCCACAGCTGTCTGTCGCCGGTCCTATATGCGGCATACACCAACGACATCCTAACCCTGGCAGGACATTTTCGCGAATGGGAGGATAATGTAGACCTGTCTCTATACGCGGATGATAGCGCCTAGTTCACTTCGTCCGTAAGAGCCTACGTAACCGTTGCAAGGATGCTGTTAGACCTGTTGTCATCGTGGCTGAACGAGTGGAGCTCTTTCACATCTATATATCTACGCGAACATGCTCGTTGATTAAGGGTTCTCCTAATTGGCTATTTAACGTCTAGCATAAACAAGATGGCTATACCATATGCACTAAACTGATGTTTCGGAAACGTGGAAAAAGCCCGCAAGATGCGGGCTTTTTCCACAGTCGCCTCTTACGACACCTATGAACTAAATGGGACAATGGATTCTCTTATACCGCCATCAAACGGAATAAAATAAAATAATAAATAAAATCACTAAAATAATAAAAAAGTAAAGTAAAAACTTATATAGGTCCCACTCATGGGTATAGGCTTTCTCACATTTTTGAGAGACTTTTAGGGCAAGCTCCACCGCGCTGCCCGATAGCGTGTATGTAAACTTCACGTCTGTGAAATATTTTTTTTAAATTAATAAACATGCATATTTTCTCCGAACATATAGGAAATCAAAAAATTACAATAGCATTGGTATCGGGAATCGAACCCGGATTGCTCGCGTGCTGTGAAATTGAGAGCGCTTAACCCCTGAGCTATCACACCAGAAATATTAATATAAAAAATTGTCAAGTTTTCTTTTAGCATATGAAATTTAACAAAGTTATCTTTCATTTGGGGCCGATTTCCGTGAATTTCCTGAGCTGAGCGTTTTAAATTGTTTTATATGAACAATTTCCTTGCTATTTATTTTTTCGGCACAAAATTCACATCCATTTATGGTGTATTTAACGTCATAAATAAAGGAGTATGGAAACCGTTTATAAAGTAAACTGTAAAAATAAAAATTAAAAACCTGGGCAAAAGGCCCTTTTCATTTCTAAGAGAGTTATAGAGCAACAAGTTTCCCCGGCTGCTCCTGTGTTGACTAAGTTCACATGTCTTCGAAATATTTTTTATCTTGAGATATGTGCAGGTTTCTGAACTTTTTTCCATCATCTCTTTGAAAATAATTTTTATCTCTCAAGAAAGTTTTTAAACCATCCAAAAACGTTTTTTCGAGAAAATCGACAAATGATTGCGACTATAACTGATATTCAGAGCGAGTATTATAATTTTTTATTCGAGCCGATCCTTTAACCCTGTAACTATTATAACGCACCGTGGATTACTACAATCTCTCGAAATGTTGAAATTTTAAAATAGTTAGAATAAACCGGATATAATATAAAATTAGTTTTAAATAAGGAAATATATATTATTTTATTGTTAACGTAAAAATACACAATAAATATAGTAGCAAATTGCATCGGTCAAAATTGTTCATTCCACCTTGAGTCCATTATTTTATGCTTCCATATTTAATTGCTTTTTCAAATTAATAGAATCAGAGCTTGCATCCAAACGTCAACTCTACGCGTTCCCTCGTGTCGGTCGCAGCGATAGCGAGCACCGCTCGGAACCGTACCAGCATCTGAATCGTCTGAACGTTCGCTTGCAAGAGATGATGTTTGGTCAACCACGAAGCCACGAGAACATGAAGCGTGAAAGTGAAAGCACCAGTGGTGGTATGTGGTTCGGCCCACGTATAGGCAGAGCTTATAACTATGACGGTAAGTTTTTACAAAACGTTATTAGTAAATTTTCTTATTTATTTGAAAAACTACCTATGTATTAATATTATTTAAAAAATCTTCAATATCCTGAAAAAAGCAATGATTTCAAATTGAAGGATAGGCCCATCTAAAGATTTTACTCATAACTTTTTCATACAAGAAAAAATAGCGCATCTGTCATTATACCATCATATCATAACATCACATAACCAGGGTCGGGTTTCGTAGTATAATTATCCTAATTGTACCATTATTTCACAGTTTGTAGTGCATAGTATCGTAATAATACTAAGCGAAAATACCATAATTTTACCTAAAGATCGACTTGTGTTATTATTGGGTCCTTTTACATTTTAATATTAACCCTACGATATCGAGAATTTCTGTATTGTACATGAGTAGGTACCGCGTTTTTTTAATAAAATTAGAATTAGCTCCCTTTCTGGTCAATCGATGAAAAAAGAAACATGAAACGTCAAACGTGATACAATTTTTTTTAAAATAGTATAATTTTATTTTCAACAAACAATATTTTTAAGGGGCTGAATCCAACCCTGGCCTAATCTTGGTAACGTAACTAAACTAACTGTAAAATGAAACTTTAAAAATGCGTTTATATAATAATTTAATTGCAACAAAATTAATATAAGGTTATTTACCGATGATACGATATCCCATATTTCTTTTAAATCTTTGTATCATAATTTTGCATTCTTTTACACGCAACTAGACATATTTGTGACAGGCAATCTGTCAAAAAATCAAATCTGTCCTGCGCGCGCACCACTGTCGACAGATTTGCGTCGGCACTAAACTGAAATTTTAGGGCCAACGCACTGGTCCGTTTTAGTTGTTCGGTCGGCCCGGTCCTTACGCTAGTAATATATAAGTCAATGGAAAAAGTCTATAGCTGGACATAAACATCTTCCGCATTACGGTGGATTTTCGACGCCATGTTTGATACGTGAATTGGCGATCGGTGTGATAAGATTCACATACTGGATATTGTTTCCCGTTGACTCGGGTACTTATGAAAGGTCTCATAAACTTTCTGTCATTTTTATGGTGAAATCTTACGGCACCCACGAGACTAGATTTAATGATGTATCAGTTACACTGCTACAACACGGTAAAAATCATTTAAGCGATGTAAAAGTCGAAAATGATTGATTGATTGATAGCACCATGTTAAATAAAAAGGGCGGGATTGACTGTCACCAAGTTTGTGACAGTACCGGTAGGCGAAGTGTAGAGCGACCCCCCACTAGATGGAGTGACGACCTGGTAAGACATGCAGGAAGTCGATGGATGCGGATGGCTCAGGAACGTGCTTTGTGGCATACCTTGGGGGAGGTCTATGTTCAGCAGTGGACTTGTGAAGGGCTGTAATGATGATGATGATGATGAAGTTTGTGATGTTCTTGAGAAATACTACAGGACATTTAATTACACGTGGTAGGGTGACGCTACAGCTATTTAATGGTTGTAGCACGAATGGGTCGACTCGACCGAGGAAAAATTACGCACTCACAAAATTTAAATAGCGGCTCAACGCTGCTGTGCTTCGCATCGTGACTGTAGAGAAACGGGGACCCGTTTTTACTAGAAACGTAACATTCCATCTTAGTTCTCGTGGATAACAACGTATTTGCAAAAAAAATATATACACAGAAGCTTAGTTTCATATATGTATCTCAGCGTGATAGTCACGCGAGATTAGTGCTTTTTTCCATTCCAATAAAGCCCTTCGTATGGTTTTTGAAGATTTCGCTTCAAAAATCATATGAAGTATTAATAAATCTCCGTACAGTCTGTACTAATCTAGATTGCGTCACGATTATAGAAATTCCTAGGAAAAATAATCAAATACATCATTATTTTGCCAGATATCAGCAGCCATCGCGAAACAAGTGGTCAGAGCGACCCCGAAGAAACAGAAAACGACCTCACTGCACGAAAGAAGAGACAAGTGATGCAAGACTAATTTTATTACACAACTCGTAATTGCTGCAATACATATACTCCAAAGTACTTTTAGAACTCACTAAGTTATGATAACTTTAAACTTAATTGATTATGTGAGTTAGCAACAATTAATTACAGTTTTCTTTTCAAGATACGTCAGAGACATTTACCAACGATTTTAAATTAGATTATTATATTTCCTTCAGCAAATTTTATCTAGTGGTTAAGAATATGATCACAGGCTATAAATTTGTGAATCGAAAATCGCCATTGGCCATTTCTAATAGCATTTCAAACGAGAATATAAGTAATGTCAAAAGCATTGCTAGTATTATTTTATCTAACTTTAATTAGTGGTAGATATTTTGTTATCAAAATGTAATTGATGAATTTTACTAAAAAGACAATTTTGTTTATAATTTCAGGGTTAATTTGTACAAATTTACCGATTTTAGATATTATGATGTCGTTACACTTGCCCGAACTTTCAACTTTGTATTTAACTGTCAATTCTATGGTTTAATAACTATTATAAATAGCATTTGTATTAATTAAGATGGAACTTTGTCGCCATTTTTGTAATGTCTATATTATAATAAGAATTAATATTAAGTTACTTGATTAGACTAAAAATCAACTAAGCATGTTTTGCCTGAATTATTTCAAAGGCTGTGTGGATCGCATACAATTTCATTACGATCCAGGAAGTAATTTAGACAAAAATCGATTTATGTTTATTACAGCATGTAATTGTTTATTATGCACAAGTTTATTAAAATAAAAATGTTACGCAACTTGACTTTACAAATAATCTTTTATTTTCGAATTTAAACCTGTCTTAAAAATACTTATCAGATGTTATTGAATGAAACTATATTTTCCAGAATTTAAAATTTAAGAAATTTGTCAATTAATCTTTTTATTTAATTTATTTAGGACAACCAACAAGACGTACACGAACACAATGTAAATACTACAAATTTTACAAATTACAGGAAGGTCAAAGTGTCGTCTTAATTAAAGGTTGCCACGGCATGCAGTGTGGACAACGAATATGTTTCTTAAAACTTACAGCTATAAATTAAAAACTTGAATTTTTGAGGCTAATCAGCGAAAACATCAACGTCACATGTCTTGCAGAGCTGGTTATAGGAGGCATAGTACTAAACTGTTACAAAGTCTTATGTCACGCTTTAGAAATATGCGAATTTTATACAAATTTTTTAAAGAACCAATATAGCATTTCCCGAACACATCTTCTCGTCAGCTAACACCTCAATACCTGAAAACTAGATTGTACAATCAGTGCGTGTTGCCAGTGATGACTTACAGATCTGAGACGTGGTCCTTCACTGCTGGCCGTATGAGGATGCTCAAGGTCACTCAGCGAGCTATGGAGAGAACTATGCTCGGGGTTTCTCTGCGTGATAAACACAGAAATGAGGATATCCGCGGTTAAACCAGAGTAACCAACATAGCCCAACGGATTAGTAAGCTGAAGTGGCAATGGACCGGCCATATAGCTCGAAAAACCGATAACTGATGGTGAAACAAGGTTATTGAGTGGCAGCCTCGTATCGGTAGGCGTATTGTAGGGCAATTCCACACTAGATGGAGTGACGACCTGGTAAAACATGGAGGAAGTCGATGGATGCAGGTGGCTCAGGACCGTGCTTTGTGGCATTATTTGAGGGAGGCCTATGTTCAGCAATGGACTTGTGAAAGGCTGTAATGATGATAATGATGATGATGAATAGCATTTACCGATTTTTGTCTGAACGTGTGCTCAAATTTTAAGTTCTCATCCATATGTAATAATGACCTCCAGATCAAATCTCGGTCACGGCGGCCAGTTTCAACGGGCTAGTCTCCGTCTATCTGCGCAGAGCGTGTGTATATGCGCAGACACGGATGCACTCTCCGTTTCCACCACTCAGCCTGATGGGACGACAATCCGACATGACCGAGGAAGATCAGGCGCAGGATCAACTTACAAAAGCACGGGGTTGAAACCCCGCAAATTTTCTGACTCCGGGTTGCTATTAACATTTTCTTGACAGTAAAACCCAACAACCTAGGGTTTAGCCTAATCGTTTTTTATACTTAAAAAATCCCGGTGATTTGTCACCTCTGTGAACTTAAAACACCTCCGAGCCTGTAATTAAATACCCAGTACATTGTTTGTTTGCTGGCAGATATGTAAGATGAGTGTACCTGCTTTGATGAATAGCTTGGCAGCCAAAGCGTTCAAAAGAGTGAAACTATTTAGTACAACTAGGTTCTGCAGTGAACAAGCATATTTGCGAACTAGCTTATTGCCCCGCGGTTTTACCCGAGTCCACTTTACAACGGCTCAAATGTTGTTATAAGACAAATAATACGGAGAGCTCAAGCTATCACATGGAAACTTTGCCATATTTCGGAATGATAACGATCACAGATTTTAAGTTAGACTAAGGCATTTCGTATAGTGACAACCACTCCAACAATCTGCCTCTTAATACTCCCGTGCATTCACCCTCCTCTTTCAATAAATCGTTCTTTCTTTTTCCTTAAAGGTCTACTCAAAGCTTATTACTTGGAACACTAATGATTCCCATCATACTTCTCGTCCTTTCTCTAATAATTACCATCATACTTCTCGTCCTTTCTCTAATAATTCCCATCATACTTCTCGTCCTTTCTCTAATAATTCCCATCATACTTCTCATCCTTTCTTGTATCAATTCTACTTTCCTAGACTGTCATCATCTTAAATTTTTTATTGTTTCATTTTTTAACTTAGTTCTATAATTTATGTACACCTGTTGGAAAAAAAATAATTTTACCACTTGTTTCTAATATGAAGCTTGTAAAAGTGTTGTCAAATGTAGTTAAATCACGGCAGAATTTAAATCAATATTTCATCTTTAATTTACATTAGTTGCATCACAGTCACTCAGGATTTCCTCTTTTATATATTAAGATGACATTAGATTTTGATCCAACAATTTTAAGTAAAAATATTTGTTGTTAATTAAAAAAAAACTCAAATTATATTTGAATGTCCCAGTTCAAGAAGTCATTTTTTCTATTTTGTAATTTGTTGCACGTAAACTTTTATTTTAGTCCCTGAAACGATATTGTAAAAAGTATAAAATAAGATTGATTGTCCAAGAATAATGTTCAGGGAATGTAATGTAATGTTCTTTAAAACGTAGATAGTAGTAAACGTAGATTAACAGAATCAAAACTATTTAAATTGAATGAAAGAAAAGTACTAAAAATATATTTGGACTTAGAACAAAACTTTTTGAACTTTTGAAATTTTTGAGTAGGACTTAGATATTTTAGTTGGATTTTTTTTTTCATAATTATTGACGAGTCTTATTTTAGTAAAATAGCTAAAGAAACAAAACAAAACTTTTATTCTTGTAGGTATTTGCATTCCTTCTTTATGAACTAAAACATCAAACTTTTTTATTACTTAACTCTAAAACATATAAGCACATCTAAGCTGGACTATACTGGCTGGACTCATTGGCTTGACCTTTAGCCCCGCATGATCAACATAACATTCAGTTATTTCTATAACATTATAAAAATGATGAAGTTAGAAAAAAAAAGAATAGGGGATTTTTCGGACACAGAGATTGTTAAAATCAAATCACTGGACTAAAAGTGTATGGTCTTTTAAAAAAAAACAGTACAAAGGAATGTGTTACGAATTAAACACATAGACTAAACCATAGAAAACGAAGAGCTTTAACTGGTTGTGTTTTTAAGTGCATAAAATCCCTAAGTGGACTTCTTGAACTTGATTCATTCTCTATTACATATAGCTTAAGCTTATTTTATAATAATCGTCAAATTAAACATCTTTTATGGCCTTAGGTAATTTATTAAATAGTTTAGCTTCTTCCTATATCAGGTTCATACATCACATGCCAAGTCCGTACAAAAATGCTCATACATAAGTACATAAATCTCAGTAAATATGGAGTTCTGTAGTTGCCCGTCACAATACGTGAACTTAAAAGGTGCCTTCTTGATACTATGTGCATATTGAGTGCACGGTTTGACCGCTATAACGACAAAAAATGGGCAAAATAAGACGATGGTAACTGAAGGAATTATTTTCCAAGCAGAGTTATAGGTAAGGCTTTGAAAATTTTGAAAATAATACAATCTATATCAAATCATTCACATGCCTAGTCCGTACCAAAATAGTTATAGTTCCCTACCCATCTATTAGTTCCCGGCAGGATATACACGACCGCAACGGACATTCCCTTCAACCATCACTGCCCTAAACTAAATAACTAAATAAATAAAATAAAATAGCCTTTCTTTCTACTACAATACAAACTTGACTTATGATTAATCTAGGTAATAATAGTATAGTATAGTTAATATGTTTATTTTACGTATAATTATGTATGTATATATATGACTTAGTTAATTTTAGTAGTAGTCGCCTCTGCGGCGCAGGCCTCTCCTAAAACTTTCCACATATCTCTTTCCCGAGCCACTCGCATCCATAGGGGTCTACATCTCTGATTAAAAATGTGTCTCCACCTTTTACTTGATGTCCCTTTTTTTCTTTTCCTGTCCCTTGGTATCCATACCAAGATACCAGAACTAAAATAACTACTAACTCAAAAATAAGCGAAAGTGGTATGTCAGGATCGGTCTCTTGGCGATCGATCCTCTCTGCCTATCCGGAAAGGAAAGCTATAGTAGTAATGCATAAGTCGTTTTCTTCAAAAACTCTTTATTTTACCGCGTTTTTATTAAGTCACTTTCTTGTTTGTCTGTAGAATTTGGTAAATGATTTTAAACTTACTTCCCGATGAGCTGGAAACACGGAATTTTGAAATTTGAAATGTTGAATATAGCTCAAATTCGCGTACTTTTTCTTATTTTTTTTAATTTCAACTGTATCCTACTTTTCTTAATTGTCACCATATTATTTCACAGTTTACAATAATATGTCAACGTCATAATGCAGCTAGTTTTAGGTCATTTTCTATGAATTTA